AGAAGAAGGTGTAATATTTTAATAAGCCTTGAGCCCGGCTCGGACTGGGAAAGATTTTTAGCCCTGGCATTTTCCATCTACTCCGGCCCACTTTAAAACAAAAAACAGAAGCACAGTCAAACGCATGTGTCTCAAATGTGAAACACAATACGAATACACATTGTGGATTAACTGTTCTATCTTCAAGCATCACACGACAACCATCACCAAGACTTCTAAAATGCTGTTTCACTACCTTTGGCATAGAACTTGGAATCCTGAGGTTCTGAGTTCAAGCCCCACTCCCACAGACTTAGGCTGAGCAAAAGACCCTTAACCCCACATTGCTCCCTGGGTGCTGCAGAATGGCAGCCCACTACTCCCCAAGCAGATGGTTTAAATACAGAGGTATAATTCTATACAATGTGAGATCAATAAAGTTAAATTATTATGAATTCTCATTTAAAGAGTTTGTCCAAAGTGATCTCTTTTAAGGAAAAGAACCAGAGAGAGAAAGTTTCAACATGTAAACAGAGTTTTCCATGACAGCGAGCCCATCTGAATGAGGGGGTCCATCTGAATGGTACAAATTAGTAAGGACACATAGGGAGAGGAATGCCAGCGGTCCCATTAAAACTGCTGTCTAAATAGTGCTGGCAGTCAGTAAGGAGCTAAGGAAAGGCACCAGGATGCTTCCTATCAATGGTTCCTTTAGCATAGGGACCCCCAATGTTCTAATGCTCCACATACTGTAGGAGCTTTATGGCTACCCAGAGTCCTTTGCATGGCAGGACGTATAGGCACAGCTCATCTCACCGAATTGAAGAAAAATCCATTATTGCTTACGGTGTACTCTGTGTGATGCATGCTAATGAGCAAACCTTAATACGCTTTGGGTTTTGTAATGGAGAACTTCCACCACTTCCAGCTACATTTGTGTAACTTTTATAGCTATATTTTGGAAGGCTCTTTAGCAGCAATCTGTATTGTTAAAATTACATATTGAAATAACAATCAGCCTTGAATTCAAAACCTCCAAAGGTACTGGTAGTTAACTAGGTAATATTAAAGATTACAACTACATTGGTTTTCTGAACTAGCTTAAATTATTGTTCCTTAACACTTTTAAGGTTTAGTTGGGTTTTCTCTTTGCATCAGCCCCACCCTGTCCTTTTAAAATGCAATGACGATTCTACATCTACATCTAGAGCAGTGATTAACCACCCACCCCACCCCCCTCCAGGAAGCGTATATCTTGACTGTGTTGCATCTGCCCTATAAAAAATACACCAAGTTTCTAAGATTAACAAATGGTGATGTGACACAGGGTTAGATATTTTATGTTTCATACGAAGCAGCTAATCTGCACAGTGACAGCCACTGTTCTTTTTTTTAAGTTAATGGTATGGTTTTGAAAATGTGTTTTTTCTGCTGCAAGGGGTTTAGACTTTATTTAGCCTTCTTAAAGAGCAACTTATTCACCAGCAGTGGTCTGATACCATGTCAGGGGATTCAATTAAATGGGCAGCACCCGCATAGGGTGAGGCATTGTCGCAGTGAAGAAAGGTTTTTCAACAAGGTTGGAAGAAAAACGACTAATACTCTGTTGTACCAAAGACAATAATTCATTATAATTTTGCCTATGTTTGACTTTGAAATGCTTGAAAAAGTACCATCTTAAAAGACAATATTTCTTTTCTGCTCCATCTACAGGATACAGAAAAAAAATACAATTAGAAGTCTATATTTATTGTCATAATTGTTCATAATTAAATGTAGATATTTAATAACATATCCTAATTTCATGTTTTCGTCTAAGCTAAGAAAATAAAAGGATGAGGTCCTTTAGGCAGAGTTGGACAAAGCTTCCCGACTTCCAGCTGATGAAATCATGTAAGACTGGAGGGATATTAAATGTCAGTTTTTTCCCCTGAACATGGAAACGCAAGATATGACATTGCTCTACATTATGGGTGTAAATTATTAAACCTCCCATTTCTGCTTGTGCGCCTGCGGTGATCATGTTCAACTCTAATTCTGTGAGTGGATCTAACTTCATGCATGGAGAACGAGAATATTATCCCATCTGAAAAAATGCTGGAGATAATGGGCCTCGAAAAAGAGGATGTTGTCTGTGCCTGTTGGATCACGCTTCAAAGGAAATAATCAGCAGAAACATTATAAATGGTTTAAAAAGAGGGGGGGAAAAATAACCGAACTGGAGGAAAACAAAAACAGTGATATCAATGTTTGATCAATCTTGACTGGAGCTGGATGGGAATCTATAATAAATGAGATGTTCTTTTGATCACAGCCTCCTTGTCTCCATAGATGTTTCTGCAGAAGAGGGGGGAAAGTTCAGCCTCTGAAGATAAAAAGAGACAGATAATGGAGAGATACATTTTCAGAATAATCTTTATTTCTCCTCAGATGCTCATGGCATCTCAGATATTTCTGATTTTGTTCAACCTCAGAAAGCCAACAGTCAAACTGCACTGAGATCCCCGGCGTGTTTAATGTGCTGATTAAAGCTCCGGCCGGGGAACAGCAGAGTCGGCCAATCAAAGGCAGAGTGATTTAAAAAAAAACAAGCCTTTTGATTCGCTGCTCATTAACAAAGCGGTCACCTCAAACGTGCAGCTCTGTTCGACCAAATCAGGAGACAAAATCTGATTTTCAGAGGTTACAAACAAACTGAACACACAAAGACGCAACGGCAGCACAGAAATCCTCAGAACCCGTCAGTCTTTAAAGCAGCCATAATGAAGAACTAGATCCCAGATCTGCAGATTAACCAACCAAAAGCTTCAAAGAGCAGTTTTCTTTCTCCTTTAACAGTTATGAAGATGCAGAACAAGTAAAAACTGATTAAACCCTGATGAATGAGAGTTTAAACTATGTAAACTTCAATTTAGAAAAAAACTCTTTTAGAGGGGAAATGTAACACGAAGGAAAAGTTTGAAATGACGCACCGATGACAGAATATTAGAAAATCCTGAGTTTAATCTCAGTTTAAATGGGCCCTTCAGGATTTTCATGACATCTGCATCTTTTACTTAAAGTAAAAAAAGCTGCTGAGACACTGATAAAAGCTTTAAGAAGTAGATCATTCTGTAAAAGTTCAAAAAATCCACTGGACTTTGTTTCCAAAGTTTGAAGATATTTCGCCAACTCTCCAGGAAGCTTTCTCAATTCAAGAATTTAAGAAGTAGAGTATAAAACAGATTTCATGTCACTCATAAAAATGGCACAATTAAGAAAGTCATCAATTGTTGGGGAGAATTATCAAACCGTTTGTCATAATCAACTGAATAAATCTCCACAAGCAGAGAAAGGAAAATATGTAATCTGGTTTATATGGCCCAAAGGAGGCAGGAACTGATGGATCAGAGGTTTCCAAGAACTGCTTGTTTTCTGCAGGTCACAGACGGCTGCAGACAGAATGAGCATCTACACCAGGGGTGCTCAAGACCAGTCCTCAAGAGCTGCTATCCTGCAACTTTTTGATGTGTCCTATTTTCAACACACCTGAATCAAATCAGTGACTTGTTACCATTAACCTGACTCCGCCAGATGGATTTGCTCTGCATATCCATCTGGAAACCTTCCGTTGAAGTAATTTTGGGAAGGGGTGAAAATACTGGTTAGCTGATTGGCCTATGTTGGTGATAGACGGGCCAAATAAACCAATCAGATCAACGAAGCATATGACGTGCTAACAGAGCGACGACGAAGAGGAGCCAATTGATAGATCAAAGTCTTGCTGAAACCAGTCGGGAGAAGAGCAAAAACATCTTTTCCTCTGAGAAAAGCCTCCAGAGCAGTGTTTTGCTCTTCTTTCAGTGAAGAAATACTCTGTAATTCCGATAAAACTTGCTCGATAGCCACGCTAACGCTAGTTTCATCGGCTGAAGCCGCCATGTTCTTTAGACTGAACTATCGCGCTTCTCGTTGCGTCACACCTCAACCCGCCTCAAAGCGGGACGTTCGTTTGGTGAACGGCTCCAAATTTTCTTCAACGGAGAGTCTCCAGACTGATTACTGAGTGAAACCTTGAGAGCTTGTGAGATCAGGATGGTCTCTTGAGGCTAGGTTACCATGCCTTTGCTGGGCTAAATGAGGGGATTGAGTCTTTCGATTCAGGTGTGTTAGAGAAGAGATGCATCTAGAAGTTATTGGATGGCAGCTCTTCAGGACTGAACTTAAGCACCCCTGATCTACACCAAACTGAAACCTAGGATCTGTTAGGAGAACCAGTTAGGATCCAATTAAACTAAACTGGATTAAAAAAAAATCAATGAGCTTTAACATTAGGAGACTGACCATGTCGCACAGTGAAACACAGTGGTGGAAGGATCATGGGGAGGGAATATTTCTTTTTAATTTAACTAGGTGGGAAACCTAAAATGGCTCCAAGTTCTAGTCTGATTTGACCCCTAATGAGAGGAAACTTCAGCCGCGTCAGAATCCAGACCTGAATCTGTCAGAAACCCGCTTTAGGTGGGCTGACCTGAAGGAGACTGTGCACAAGACTCACAATCAGAAGGATTTGGAGAACTTTTGGAGCATAAATGGATTTTGAAAGACGGTGGTTAAAGATTCAATTAAAAGTATTAGTTTTAGTGTGAAAATAAATCATCTATTTTCCGTCACGTTATCCTTGCTCAAGTCGCTAGGGATGCTGGTGCCCATCTCCAGCTGTCTACTGGTGAAAGGAGGGGTCCACCCCGGACAGGTCGCCAGTCCATCGCAGGGCAACACAGAGACAAACAGGACAACAAACAACCATTCACACACACAATTAAGAACATTTTAAAGAAGCCAATTTAACTAACAGTCATGTTTTTGGACTGTGGAAGGAAGCTGGAGTACCCGGAGAGAACCCGCACATGCACAGGGAGAACATGCAAACTCCATGCAGAAAGAGCAGCCCTAAAACTGAATCATTGAACCTTCTTTAACCTTTTTTACATTTCCCCTCATTTGTTGGTATTTGAGCAGAACTGTGGTTTAAACAGGTGTTGGAAAAACTTTTTATTTCTGGCATTTTTGGGATTTGAACACATTTTAGATCCACTGATCTTAATATTTCTCTGCACTAGAATTTAAATACTGATCATACAAACAAGTGCATGAGACATTAAACCAACTTAAACTGTGCAGAAAACTTTATATAGTCAAAACTCATCAATAATTTCATTAAATTCAGAAAAACATCTTCAGTCAGATACATTTCTGAAAATAAAGCGCCTCAGGATTAACAAAGACGTCTGAACCAAACCAGGAATCCACCTGCAAACCTTTGCTGCTTCATTCTGCAACTTTGCTCTGAAGAAACCATCTTTAAAGTCTCAGTTTTCTCGTTTGTGGTTCCTGTGGTTGACGCTGCAGCTGCTTCAATTTATCAGCATCTCAAACTTTGACTATAAACATGTTGGAGGGGAAAAAAACAACAAAAAAACAACAGAAAGGGATCAATAACAGTCAGATTTACCACATTAGGGAGAGAAACCGGCTGCAGGCAAAGGTGCGTTTACATAATAGCTCTAAGCGCACCAAGAAATACTTATATATGTCTGAAAAATCAAAATGCAGCAAAACATGACTGCTGCATTCAACTGCAAACCAACAAAGTGAGATCAGTGGAGGATGAAGAGAAACACCGACGTGTTTCAGCACCGTCTGAGCGACCGGAGACGAACGGCACCCTTATGTTTGGAGAGAGGTCTGAACGTTCATTGCAACTCATTAAAAACCTATTTACTGATACGTTAGTGAAACTAAACTGATTCGTTTTAAGCCTTTCGGCAACTAAATAATTTATTCTCAACAGATATTTAGGAATAATAAAAAAAAATCTGCTGATTTTAAACCTGCAAACTATTAATATAAACTTCATTTTGCTTCTTATTGTCTGAGAAAGAAAATTTTAAATTTAACAGATAAAATCAACGTCGGTGAACTGGATGCGGTTCAATCCGCAGCCACATTAAAAATATATATTTTTTTATTTTTCTCTTTTAAGCTTATGCTTTTTTTCCCAACATTTTCTCTTATTTTTTTTTTTTTTTTTTGTAAGAAACCCTGCTAGACGAACCTTCCTCCCAGATAAGTTTAGCAGAAGATAAAAGTGGAGTAAAGATTATGACATAAGAGGAAGTTTGAATACATTCAAGATAAAACAGACCAACTTTGGCTAAAGTTTCAGTAGTGTGAGGAGAAGTAAAGGTAGAAACAGGTGAGAAGAATCTCTGACATTAACACCTGACCCATCAGACCCAGAGGAGAGCATCTCCAATTTGTTTTTATCTTCTATTATTTCAGCTGCAGCTTTGCATTTTAATAAAAAATCCAATCCTCTTTAAATCCTGCAGCTGCTCCTGCAGAAGTGCTCTCAAACATCTGATGATCGTCCTGAGAGGACCTTTCAGCAGCTGCAGCGGCTCGCTGCTTCCACCCGGGAATGTCTGATCATCTGATGTGCCTCCATCTCTGCAGAGGAGTTTATTCTGTTAAAAACATTTCATTAATCTTCCCGAACGCAGATCTGGTCAGTAGTAGTGAACCCTCTGCTACTAATGACATCCAGGCAGACATTTCATTAGTTTCCTCTCCTGAAGCCTCAGAGAGCATCTCAGGCTTTAGAGGGGAAGGAATCATGACTGCCTGCTTATGCAGAAGAGCCGCTTTTCATTTCATGTTTTTTATAATTAAAGGAGTTCAATATTTTAGGGTAAAAAAAGTCCTGGCGGCGCCCCGGGTCTCCGTCAGCGGCAGCCGCAGTGGAAGTCGGCGTTGGGGTCCATCAGCAGCTTCTTGCGGTCCACGTGCAGACAGTCTATGTGGTACCAGGCGTCGCACACGTCGCACTGGATCCACTGCACCGTGTCCTGCTGCGGCAGCCGGCACCGCAGGGCGGCGCACGGCTCCACCGCGCTCACCGCAGCGCCCTCGTCTTCATCGTCCTCTTCGGAGGAGGACGAGGAGGAGCCGGAGGAAGAGGAGGCCGAAGAGGTGGAGGAGGAAGAGGAGGAGGAGGGAGAGGGCAGGGAGGGCCGAGGAGGGAGGGGGTGTTTTCTGGGCCGGCCGCGACGTTTACTTCAGAGAGAGAAAAAACAAACAAAGAAAAGAAGCATAAACTAAAGGAAACTTTAATTACCGGTAAACGAGACAAAAAGTTTATTATTCGCAGGAAATAGAGTGAAATCCTTCAACTTCAAACAGAGAAAAATATATTTTAGGTGTTTATTTCTTTTAGTTTTGAATGATTCAGTTACTAAGAAAATATATTTTTAGTGATAATCTTGTTCTAGGTTTCCAAGTTAGAGTCTGAAGTCAAAAGTCAAAATAATCACTTTGAGAAAATATCAAATGAACTAACTTTGACATTTCTTGTTAATTTGTTTAAGCCTCTGTGACACCTTCACAATTTAGCCAGCATATGCGGACGTCCCAGAATCTTCTAAAACGCTGAAATACGCTAAACTTTCTATGTATTTTTTAATCTTAGGAGTATACATAGAGTATTAATAACGAGTCCAGAACTTATGTTCAACGACAGCCAAACTTATGCATAAGACATGGCAGCGTAATGCCCATGAAACGTCACAAGCCAGTGTCCTGAGGGGGGCAGTGATGCACCCGAGGAGCTCGGTCTGCGTAAAAAGATTTGTTTGATCGCGTTATCACCTAGCTGCTGTTTACCGCTCACCAAAAGAAAAAAACAATAAATAAAAAGAAAAAAGAAAGAAAGGGGGTTTGCAGCTGAAGCAGATTCAGCGTCATGTCTGCTAGAAAGATTGTTGGTCGTGGCCGTGAACGCAGGAAGGATCCATCACACTCACCCTATGATGGGGATGAAGTCTGGAGGAGAACTTAGTTTCTCCTGTAAACCCTCTTTTCAGGGTTCCTACAGCATAAGGCAAGTTAAATTCAAGACTTTTTAAGACTTTTTAATGCCACTTGAAATAAAAATTTCAGACCAAATTTACAAGAAACACAAGAAAAACCTGCTTCCCATACAGGAAGAAAGCTAAAAACACACAAATGACAGATATATTTTAACAATTATTTAACTGATTTCACAAACTTTGTTTTAGCAGGGAACAAAACAAATCAGTTTTAAAGCCCCAACATAACCAGTGCTAAGTCTTTTTTGCAGCTATTTTTCTTTGTATCGTTTTCTTAGTATGTTTGATTTAAGTGGAGGCGTTGCAGAGACAAGGGTGGAACTAAACTGAGAAATACCGGCTGTTTCTCTGTAACTTGATTTTGACGCTTTGTGTTTCGCGCTTCGCATGTGCGACTCCACTGCCTTAATTCCCATCGTTCTGAGCTTGAATGACTTCTTGCACTAAATCCACTGAGCCTCATGTATGTTCCCTGGTTTTAGCCATGGAGAAAACTCTTGGCTGGAGACAATTTTCGTTACATTTACACTTGCTCATATTTTCCAGACAAAAAGTTAATGGTGCATCTCCCAAATGTCCCGGCCGCAACAACGCTTTTATTGGTTCCGCTACCGGGACAGAACCAATAATGGCGAGCCGCTATTTTTTTTTTTTATAAAAAAAAAAAAAAAAAAAAAATTGTCAATTTTTACATTTTATTTAGATTACAAAAATATTTATGATGTTTTAAAAATTAAGACCTACGAAATACTAATTTAAGACATTTTAATACCAATTAAGGCCTTAGTTTTATTTTGAAGAATTCAATGCCTTTTGAGACTTTTTAAGGACCCGCGGGAACCATGCTTTTATAGCAAAACGCTGCCAATACACCTTTAAGCAGTTGCTGTGAGTTAAAACGGCGTTCAGCGGTCGTCTTGAACACTACAAATACGTTGGAGATAAGTTCTTGATAAGCTACACATAAGTTATGCACAAGTTTCTCATATGTTTTGGATAAGCTAGACGCCACGACTTATGAGTAACTTATACTTAACGTACCGTAAATTCCGGACTATAAGCCACTACTTTTTTCCCACTGTTTGAACACTGCAGTGCGGCTAATACATGTTTTTTTTCATGGCACGAAAAACAGACCGGTAAAATTGATGAGTATTCAGAGGTGCAATGAAATTGTGCGATACATAATTCTCACTTTCACAGTTATTTACAGTCTTGTAAATCAGACAGCATCACCGGCGGGTTTCGGAAGGCTGGGCTGCTGCGGGATGAAGAGGAGCGCGAGTGCTCAAGTGAGAGCGACAAGGATGAGACTGAAGTCAGTGACTGCACCCTGAAGCTGTTCCATTCAGACACCGAGGAAGAGGATTTTGAGGGAAGAAGAAAGTGATTAATGACTTTTCCTGGTCGGCTTCCATGTTCTGTGCATTGTTTAATTAAAAGTACCGGTATATGCAGCGTTATTTGCGTGCTACCGACACATACGTATATTTAAATGTGTTACAGGTAGTTTGAAAAAAAAAAAAAGCATTCGTAATATGTACCGTATTTGTTTGTTTTATCATAAGGATTAAATCAAAGGTTAAAAAAATGCTCACGTGTAATATCTTTATTTGTAAATATCTCATACAACGTGGGAAACCTGCGGCTTAAAATCCGGTGCGGCTTATAAAAGTACTAAATTGATTTTCTTTCTAAAATTAGAGCGTGCGGCTCGTAACCAGGTGCGCTCTATAGTCCGGAATTTACGGTATGTCAACGATCAAATAACTGACCTGTAATTTATGGCAATGTATAATCATACGCTGGCATATGTCTGGAAATTTTGAGCATGCACAAAATTCTTGACGTACTCGCCATGTGTCAACGTGTGCCATTGTGCTCATAACTTATGCAAAACGTACCCATAACGTATGCAAGCGTTTTTACCAGATGTTTCAAACGTCTAAACGGTGGAGGTGTAACAGGGGCTTTACAAAAAATGATCAGTGGATCGTTTTCTTTCCTCCCCTGAGCAGCAGGACAAATGTCAGGAAATCTTACGCTGTCTGATGATGGAATCGGTTGTACTGGACCCTCCCTCTCTCGTCGGTTCTGATCCTCACGGTCGGCGACGCCAGGCTGTAGTTCTCCCCTCCCACCACCAGGGGAGAGAAGACCGGCGAGCTGTTGGCCCTCCGCCTGCCCCTCTGCGCTGTCGGTGTACCATGGGCGGCTTTCTGTTGGCGGAAGGCAGCCATGTTTCCGTTTACCACGGTTTTGACCCGGTGCGAGGTTTCTACCTCCCCCTGCCTGCGAGGAACCACGCTGGTGAAGGAGGACTGCAGCAGCTGCTGGTTCAGCCGGCTGTTGGTCATGGCGCCGTGGAAGCTGCCGATGGTTCTGATGCCCACTGGGAAAGGTTTGGCCTCCAGAGGACGCCGGATGTCGCTGTGGTTCTTAGTCTGTACTGGGGGAGGGGCAGGAGAGCTGAAACCGTCCGACTCAGATCTATAGAGTCTCCGCCTCTTCTTTGGTCGTGATCTCTGAACATCCTCCGCCACTCCTCCTGTCACAGCTGCAGGAGAAAATAGAACCATATAGTTTTTAAAAATCATTTTCCTTTCCTTCCAAGTCTAAAAAGTCAGCTGATCTTTACCTCCTCGACTTCTGGGTTCATCTGAGCTGTCGTCCTCCAGGAGAACCGTGTGCGCAGACTTCCTCCTGCTCCTGGACGCCGTCTGGAGGGGTTTGGTCAAAGGTGCCGAGGTGGTGGAGGAGAAGGAAGGAGTGGAGGGAGGAATCAGCGAGGAGAAGCCCACAGGGGAGGAGGAGGACGGGGTTCCCGGGTCAGAAACGGTTCCCTCATGGCTGTGGCTCCGCTTAAAGGTCCAGGCACTGCCCTTCATCTTACTCAGGCTGCCAATGGAGTTCAGGATGACTGTGGCCCGGTTGATGGACATCTCAGAAAGGTCCAGGTTTTTGACTGACTTTCGGTCCAAGTTGGTCCTTATCCGGTTCTGCAAGTCGGAGGAAAACATTCCCGCCTGAAAGGAAAAAAAAAAAAAAAAACACAGCAAAGGGAAACACAGTTTACTTTCTGGAAAAAACACAAAATCTAGTTTGGCTAAAATGATAAGAAGTCTCTATGAAGTTTAAAACCTCAGAACACGCTGCCAACCGTCAAACACGGTGGTGGCAGCATCCTGCTGTGGGACTCTATGAATCTACTGGTTATTTAAGGTTTGAGATTAAACAAAGTGAATAAAACAATCTAGAACAGGAGTCTGGAACCTTTACAACCTTTCTGGTCGTCAGTCCAGTTTATTAAAACTAATTTAGAGCCTCAAATGTTACTAGATGTTCTGGAAAAAGACAAAATCATTTCTGATAAATATTAACTTTTAAAAAATGTAATTAAGTTTCAACAAACTGACATTTCTTGTTAGGTTTAGTATTAAAATATGTGTACAAGTTCCTATTAAAATTTGTGGCGTAAAAGGTGATTTGTTTTCAACCTAATGACAAGGAAAAAAGTTCAAAAATAAAAATCAAACAAAATATTATTAGTACATTAGTGTCATCCAGTTGTCCAAATTCAGTGAATTATCAAGAACATTGGAATACTGCTTAATCCTGCAGTGTTTGTTAGTATTCTATACATTTTAATTTTTTAACCAAAATTATCAAGTCTCTATTAAAAGTCTAAAGATAGACCCCTAAATTAGAAGGACCACGTCTAAATATGCAGCTTACAACCTTCCCTATTATAGGAGTCTGATGCCGACCATTTAGAGAACCAAAGGATACTTATGTTCATAAGAATTTATTCACAGTAAAGTGATTTAAAAAAAAAAAAGGTAAGGCTGCTCAGTAGATAAAGGGAACAAAGACAAACATAGGATCTGATTAAGCGAGGTAGTAAAAAAATAATAATAATCTCAGCTGATCAATATATATTCATATATTCATGTCTGTGAATTAATAGAGGTAAAAAAAAATTATCTAAAAAGATATTTTTCTGGTTTTCTGGTAAATAAAACAAAAATAAAAAGTGGTGAGGTTAAAAAAAGAGACAGAAAAAGAATAATAGCTCAGAGAAATTCAACAGATTGACTTCTATCAAAATAAATATCTGAAATTTTGATCAGTTGTTGAACAAATCCTCTTTAGTTTCTCTGCTTTAAATGGCCTGATAATTATTAAGCTGTGCGTGTAATTCATACATTCAAATCCATAATTATTTTTCAATTTATTTGTAATTTAGCAGGATTGGCCCTCCATATAATATGCATCAGTAGTCATGATGATTCCTATAAGTATCTTTGAGAAAGTTTTCTTCCTCCTCAGATTCCCTTGAAAGCATCAGTGGTTACCTTTGGGATTGTGATGGCATCAAAGTCCAGCGGGCGAACTTTGACCTTCTGGAAGAGGAAGTAGAACTCTGGGCTCCCCGGAGGCGAATGCCCTCCAAAGGTCAGCGTGTCGCCGTCGGAGAGCTCCCACAGGACGCCCGGCTGGAGGCGCACGTCGTTCACCCACGTTCCTGAAGATGAGAGAGAAAACGTGTAAACAGAGGTTGTTACACTGATAGGGAAATGTTTGAAGTCCAAACCAATAAGCTACAGTGTTGCAGTTTCAGATAAAAGTCGCCCGGGGCCAGAAATCCTCACAACTTTTTAATATTCCAGCAAGAAATAACCCCAAAGAGCAGCGCCCAGAAAATAAAGCCGTTTGGAGAAGCTGGATGTGTTTACAGCTCCAAGACTTTGGAGGAAAATGTAAAACAGGCTGTGAAATGGAGGCCAAACGAAAAGCTGGAAGGCTACAAGCCAATCAAACGGGCGTGACAGCAGGAGAAATGTGGCGGGAATACGAAAAACCCCAGGCTGACGGCAAACCTGGGGAACGGACTGGGAAATTACCTGAAAAATTAGACAATAAGGGAGCAGTTTAGATTCAGAGTCCATCAGTCACAGTCCAGCCGGCCTGGGGCCAAACTTTACCGCTAAATGCTTTCTTAGATCAAATAAACACCTGAGACTGCATGAAAACCACCAAACACACATCCAATCATTAGGTGCTAAAAAAAGTTATTATTTGTACATTTATCAAAAAACTGGATTCAAGTTTGTTGTACTTACTACTTTTTTTGATAAAATCAAAGATGCAGCTTTAAATGAAACTCAAACGTGTGTTTTATTTCCTTTTATTAATTATTCTAAACATAGAAGTCATCAATATTTGTTGTTAAAAAGAAAATACTAAAAGTTCAAATTTTTTGATTGGACCAAAAACATTTTCTTAAAATTTTATCATATTTGTTTAAAAAGTAAAAAAAAAAAATCTAAGATTAGTTTATCCACACCCTGTTTAAGAGTAATTTTTAAACCATCCAACTCTGACAGATCATTTTATAAATTATGTTTCTGTCAAAATATGAAAAAAAATACTGGTAAATAAACAAAAAATTCAAATATTTCTTTTTTAAATCTAATTTCAAAGGTTCTGACTTTTAAATAAGTTCAATAGGAGAAGAAGACAGAAGTATGGAAGAGGATTAGGGCCACTGGAAAAAATAGAAATAAAAAGTTTACTGATTTTAAAATTTTATTTCAATTTAGTATAGGAAAAAATTCAGAATTCTGACTTTAATCTCAGAATTCCGACTTTAATCTCAGAATTGTGGATCTTAATGTAGATGGGCACTATGAAGGAAGAGATGTGGAGCACTCAGCTTCACTGACAAAGATGTAAGTTGTTTGAGGTGGCCAGTGACACATTGGTGGAAAATGAGGGAATTAGGCAACTTTTTACGTGCCCGAGGGGTCCCCTCATTAATGGAGGAGCAGAAGGTCATTAAAACAAGAGAGCTAGTCTCTAAAACAGACATGGCTATGGCTTGATGCTAACATGTTTGTTAGCTGTCAGAATTCTGAGATTAAAGTCAGAATTCTGAGATTAAAGTCAGAATTCTGAGAAAAAAGTCAGAATTCTGAGAAAAAAGTCAGAATTCTGAGAAAAAAGCCAGAATTCTGAGATAACAATAACAATTCACACCTCCTTTGTCAAATTACAGATTATTTCACTGGAATATAATCTAACAAGGCTGCAAAAAGTGGAGCATAACTGTTAGTTGGAAGGGGAACAATTCTTTGTTTAATATCTTTATGAAAAACATCTGAAAAGTGATTTAAATTTAGTCTCTACTGCAGCAATTATACCTTTCTGCAATAAGATCTGGTTGTTCTTTGAAAGCAACAGGTTTATTTGAGAATGTTAGAGAACAAAAGCTTAAAAAAACAAAGAACCCAACAGACAGGTTAGAGAAGAGGTTATGGAGAAGTTTTATAGAGGATTAGATGCAAAAAAAGTCTTCAAATAATGAAACTTTTCATCACATCAGATCGGAAATCCGAGTTAAACTGAAATAAAATTTAAAAATCAGTTAACTTTTTTTTTTCCCAGAGGCCCTAACCACATTTATAGAAAAAATATAATTTTTGAACATGAATTTCAATTGAAACCTTGAAGAACACCAAATATTTTTCTCTTAATTAATAAATTGCTTATTTTGCAAAGTGTAAAAAACAGATAAAACCTACAACGATTTACTAGAAACAAAAACTGGGGTCTTTTTCCATCAAAAAACTAAATATTTTTCTTTGAACTAAAAAAAAAAAAAAAAAATGAAAATCACCATCAGATGCACTTGATCTGCTATAAAGACATAACTTTAATAAATCGCCAGCTGTTCCGGTTCTTTAGGTCTAACAGTGAACCTCCAGCTGGTCCTGAAGCAGCAAACACATCATTTCTCCATCAGCTTCATCTAACTTGACGCCACCTGATAACGATCCAGGAGATGCTCATATATTCTGACGTTTTAATAACAAACTGGAATAATTGTGATGACAGACATCCTGGTAATAAAAGAAAATGAAAATCATCTATTAAATGTAGATATTTTATAACAGATCTAGATGTGACTGAGCTGCATATTAAATACTTAAATGATGACAGTTTTGCATTTAAACGCGTCAATCTGCACAACTAAGGCTGGTTATGAATAATAAATAGGAAATGAATCTTTATATGGTGTTAATGCATGAAACTGTAGATCTGATCTGATTATAATAAATGAATGAAAAAAAAGCCTGAGATCTATTTACTTAGAATGAGAGACAACAAATTAAGCTTCTGCTTTAATTACAGAAAACTTTAAAGTTGAACTAAACTTTCAACTTTAAAGTTGAACTAAACGTCCAGGACTGAATCCCAAACCGTCCCCTAACCACTAACCCTTAACTATTAAGTGTCACTCGCAATAAAGTCACACTCACAGCTGTGGAAGGCGCTTGGATTAAAGGTGGGGGCGTATAAACGTGATTGGGACGGCCTTTTCCCTCCAGCGCAAAAGGAAAACAGTCGTTCCTATGGCAACACAGTGATGCTGCATGTGCATTGTTGTAGCTCTGTGGCACAGTTTAACATAACATCAAACATGTGCCAATTTTTCTTAAAGACAAAAAATAATCGAACCAGTCATATAAAACTAAAAGAAAACCTTCCATTTAGGGATCAATAATGTCTTTTTTTCTTTTTCCTGACTTGTGATTTTCTATCAGTGTTATAAAGAGGAATCAAACCAGTGGAACTTATATTTAAATGCACGCGTTTCCTCCGCTAGCAATTTGTCGTTACACCTGCTGCCAAATTCCAGCGAGTCTGCACTGATTTAGCGCTATTTAAGGCCTGGATGTCGTGTGGCCCCACCCACTACGTGGTTTGTGATGGCCCTAATGTGGCTGACCCTCCGCTGGAACCTGCGAGCGAAGGGTTAGTTAGTGCTTAGGGGCCGTTTGGAATTCAGCCCATAGCATCACTGGAATTGATGAAAATTGTGAAACCATTGCCCTGAAATTGTTTATCATTCGTCTCCATCGACCGCCTGCACTTGTAAGAGAGAAATATTATTGAAATCATTATTTATAAGACATCAAACCATTAAAGATGGTTGATAATTGTGGATGTTTGTGTTTACAGAGACATGCTGTCCTCCTAATTATGGGGCTAACTAGACGCCCCTGCTTAGATCTGATGCAAAACTTCCTACTCAGATAATGGATGAAAAGTTTCATTGTTTGAAGACTTTTTGGCATCTAATCCTCTATAAAACTTCTCAGTAACCTCTTTTCTAACCTGTCTGTTGGGTTCTTTGTTTTTTTTAGCTTTTGTTCTCTAACATTTTCCAATAAACCTGTTGCTTTCAAAGAACAATCAGATCTTATTGCAGAAAGGTATAAATGATGCAGTAAATCACTTTTCAGATATTTTTCATAAAGAAATTAAACAAAGAATTGTTCTCCTTCCAACTAACAGTTATGCTCCACTTTCTGCAGCCTTGTTAGATTATATTCCAGTGAAATAATCTGTAATGTGACAAAGGAGGAGTGAATTGTTCTGTGTTAGCAGAGCCCGCCTGCCATCTGTGTAAATGTGGTATTTCCTGTATCTGGGTGTGTTTTCCTGTGGGCATGTTTGATCTTGACTGACGGTTCAGGTGTGTTCAGGTGAGTGACGCCTCTGCCGTCTCACCATGGCTGCTCCTGTCTTTGATGTGGACCCTCCAGCCCTCCTCCTGCTGCAGCGACTCTCCCTCTCCTCCGCTCGCCTCCTTCTCTGCGTGCAGCTCGGCGTGGATGCGAGACACCGAGTCCGACTCTAGCGTGACGTCACACAGCTCCGCGGCCCGACCCAGCCGGAACACGGACTGGGTCAGCGCCGGCCGGAAGGTGTAGAGATCCCTCGCCGAGTCGCCCGTGGACAGGCCGATCCGAAGCAGCTGGAAGCACGGCTGCGCCCCGGACAGCATGGCTGCAGCCTCTGATCCAATGCCACCCTCCCACACACTGAGGCCGCCCCTGATCTGTGACCGGCCCTGAGTTACAGCAGGCCGCGCTCCATTTCCAGATACGCCTCAGAGCTAGTGGAGAGCAGCCAACAAACAGGGAGAGCCGACAGCCGGCATACAGCCGAACGCAGATGAAAACGTCCGTGTGAAGGTCACAGGCAGGTGGAGCAGCTCTCAGCAACAGGTGCTACCATTAGTATGCAGAGCTGCTGTCATGCTGCGCATAAATGAATGAGTAATGAGGATTTGGAGCACTGTATAAGACGGAGAAAACGAGCTCCTGCTCTGCTTTATGAGAAGCGGCTTAAACAGATCAAATCCCCCGTGGAGAGGAGACTAAAAGGCTGCGAGTTCAAACATAAAGAGCCGAGTGAACGCGGACAGCAGGTGCGTCACAGTGTCCAACTAGCTGGACGGATAACGGCCGCGTATAACCTGCTGAAAAACTCTGCAGCTGGGAGTTCACTTTGAAATAGATGAATTTTAATCTTTAAAGCAAGATGATCATGGAGGCAACAATCAGTGAGGCTGAAGCAGCGGATTGATCTGCAAGAAAACAAAGAAAAACATCAAATTAAAACATGTTTAAAGATCAATATATAACCAGTACTACAGACATAAAGCTTCATTATGGGTTAAAACACAGAGAGGCATTAAAAACACCCAGAGAGACCGAGAAAATGACTGAAAATATGTTGCTTGTGAAAAAATGTTGGGAAGAATACATTCTAATAATGAAGCAGCCATGCAACAATGGGACAGTTTCTGCACATATACGTCTACAAATTAATTTGGACTTTAAGGCAGCAAAACAAGGATTTGCACTAAACCTCACTGTTTATTGTAATGTCTTTTTGTTTTGTTTATGTTTTAAAAATTGAAAAATTCTATAAAAACTTGAATTACAAAAAAAAACAAAGAGACAAATGTCAGTCAGTTAGAGAACTAATTAATTCATGTGTTGCACTAAATTAGTCTAAAAAGTTGGAACCAAACATTTATAGTGCCGATGCACCGATTCAAACGTTTTTGCCGATCACAGATCCTCAGACCTGCTGATTCTGATTGATCTTTTCCATTTTAATTATTATTTTATTGGAGACATGAATCCATATCTGTTAAACTAAACAGACGTCTTTTAACTGAACATGAGGCGTCGCCCTCTAATAGAACCAAAAAGTTTAGAGTTTTGACTGTTTTGCGACTGATTTTTATGGTCGCTAAGATCAGTTCTATGTGGAAGTAGGAAGCAGGAAACTGGGGTTGTTTGATCGGTGCTCCTCTGATTAAAATATTAATTCTGATTATGAGGATTATGGCTTAAAGATAATAAAAACAAACGACAATAACTGAGCCCAGTTACTGTCTTTGTGGCAATAACTGGCACAAGACATGTGAGCAATAAAATGAAGATTGCTTCTAGTCTTATGAAATTATCTGATGTATTCTGTTGCTGTGATCTCTTAACCAGGACTCCCTTGAAAAAGAGATTAATTATTTAAATGAGACTTTCCTGCTTAAATAAAGGTTGAATAAAAACATAAATAAATCAGATCCTGCAAACATATTAAAAGAAAACTGAATGGAAGGAAAATGTGAGGTAAAAATGTCACACGGGCGACAGGATGAGGCCTTCAGCTTGTCTGAGGAGCTGGGATGTTTTATCGTCGTCATGGTGACGGGCGGGGCTGGACAGTCAGCTTATAACATGATCATTCCAGCAGGTATGGGTAAATTTGGTGATCTGGGATGAAATCAGCAGCTCTATAAGGATTATTAGAGAGAAGCAGGAAGTTTCAGGTACATCAGTAAACAAGCTTTGGTTCTGATGGAAAGTAGTGGACCGATACCAGCAGCTGAAAAGGTTCATAGACCGCTGGGACGTCCGCTTAGATTCAGTCCCTCCCTCCTCTACCATGGACCACTTTGGTCCTTTTCTTTCTAGTCTCAGGTAAGATGCTTCTGATGGTTCAGAAGACAGTTTTAGCTCACATCCTGGACAGTCGGCCATGAAGCTCTAAAGGCTGATTTATACTTTGTAAAATAAGTCAACTGCGTCTCCGCAGACTCTGCTGCACCTCTTCCAAACTGTAGGTGACCGCAGACAGGAGGCCTCTGATTGGTCAAATCTACATCCGCTCTACGCTATGTGTACTTCCTGTTTGGTACCTTACTGGCCTTTTTTTGTTTGTATGACCGCCATTGTGAAAAACGACTCATGAAGATGGACCACATAGAAGAACAAGGTGCGCCAGAACGCTGGGACCCTTTTTGGGCATAAACAGTGGCTTCAAAAGTTCACACATTTGTTACTTAAGTAGAAGTATAGATACTGCAGATTGAAAACACTCTGATAAAAGTTAAAGTATCAATTTGACCTCTTTACTCAAGTAAAAGTGAAAAAGTATGAGCTTCAAAAACTACTTAAAGTTTAAAAGTATAAAGTAACCATTAAAAAAAAACAGCCAGATGCCACTATATGATGAAAGCTCAATTTTACAACTATTTTGGAAAGTTCTTTGAGATAGGGCCAAGGATGAGGGAGGTCTTGTTGGTCTCCGTCTCCCAATACGCTCTCGCCTGTGTCCGACCTTTCAGACATTTCAACATCTTTTTCTGAATCCGACATTGTAGCATGGCATAGACAATTCACGTTTGCAGTTTGAAGAACACCTGCTTGCTTCTGATGATTTCCTTTAGCTAACCAATGAGTGTTTGCGTTCTATGACTCGTCCAGTTACACTAGTTTTCACTAGATGTGGATGGAGCCAATGATCTGCATTGGATGGAGCACATGACGGGAAATAAATATTTAGAAACATTAAACCGAAGCCAAGAGCAACGAGTATTTGTTTTAAAAATGTAAGGAATAGAAAGTACAGATACTTGTATTATTTATTACATTTTATCATTATATATTTTTTTTAAACTGTCCTTTTTACTATTTTTCAAAGCTGCACTTTTAAAAATGATAAAATTTATATATAAAATTTATTTTTTTGTACACATGTGTAAACAAAATTAAAAAAATCTGTCTAAGTCTAAGAAAATATAAGAGTAGAAGTCAGATGTAGGAAGAAAAATAAGTAATGGAGTAAAGTATAGATACCTAAAAAGTGTACTTTTGTACAGTAACTAAGTATTTGTACTTTGTTACTTGACACCTCGGGGCATAAATCGAAAGTATCTGCAACAATCTCACTGCAGCACACTGCTGCTGGAGGATAACCAGCCCCTTAAGTCAAGCAGTCCCACCTCGCCCCCTTAGAACTAAAGTTATACCTGAAGCTTATGCACCTATTTATGCAGCACTTCTTCCTTCCACTTAACTTTCCATTGATATTTATAGGTACAGCACTCTAACAATGGCCTTAAAGTGTCTCATCCTCTCTGGGGAGGAAGTCAGTGACTGTTTGGCTGTCAGCAATCTTCCCACTGATGAGGCAATAAACTGTTCTGTACTACAATTGTTTTAAGAAACTGGATGTGAGGTTTTTATCATCTTTAAGCCATAATTAAAGTTAATTGCGGTATAAATGTGTATATAAGGGATCCATTATGGGTCTGTTTGAACTTCAGCTGATAACTAATGAGAGAAAAACAACCATCCAGTTCATAGATCTGCAGGAACAGAAGCTGCAGCCTGAGAAGCAGAAGTGCTTCGAGCTCCAGCTGCCAAATCACGGGATCAGCGCACAAAGCAGGAGGCGAAAACTGGAAGAATTATTTAAATCTAAAACCTTCAATAAGTTTATTTCCTAACAGTTTATAGTTAATCCTTCAGATTCGGAGTTTTTCCACCGGATCGGGTTGATTAAAGAGCAGAAAGCGGCCGCAGAGCGGCTCCTGCTCGCTGTCTGTAGTTCCTCGTTAGGATGAGAGTCAGAGGCTGAGCTTCTAACAATGACAGACCTTCACTGCGGCTTCCTGTTGGTTCCTCCGCAGATGGAGCTCCCTCCAGGCCTCCGGCTCACACCTTCCCGCTCACACCGCCGCTGGGGCTGCTTTGGTGGATTATTTTCATGTCTTCGTGGCTCCGCGGAGGTTTCTGAGGGGCTTTCAATGCGGACTGTCGCCTTCGTCCGGGAGGAAGTGCTTTGAAATTTGGCGCGCCAGTCCCTGGTCTTCCGCGAGCTGCGCGCTGCGTCACTTCCGGATTCTCCCCCGTTGGCTGAGAGCCATGGCGGCTTTAGCGGGAGCAGGAGAACCGGTCTGTCCTACTGGGCCTGGAGCGAAGCCTACTTTCTCTGGGCTGGGCTGACAGCTGGAAGCTGTCCTCACCTTCGAATATATTCAACTGTTTTCACATTACAAACACGTTTATGAGCTTTTATCAAGTCTTACAGATATAATAAACAAAATAGTCAATATAAACTCCAAGTTGAAATGGAAATAATCCAGGAAACTTTATTAAGATAAATATCTAAAAAGTGTGGCATGCATTTTTATGCAGCACCTTAGAGCTCAGTGCAGTTCCAGAAATTTGAGGAATTTGTCTCTCCACCTAGTTTGTGTTTGTGGAGACTGAATTTGTTGTAATATTTTCTTTGCAAAACAACTTTTCATTCTAACACAGAAAAAAAAATGCTTTGATGTAAAACATTCTCATGTAGCTCTGCACAGGCTCGGACGGGGGAATTTAGGCATTTTTCCATCTACACCGTCCCATTTATCATACATGCAACACCGTCACGGGCTGTTAACTGGAGCAGTGGGTAGCACTGCTGCCTTGCAGTAAGAAGGTTCTGGGTCCGATTTCTGGCCCAGGGTCTATCTGCATGGAGTTTGCATTTTCTCCCTGAGCATGCGTGGGTTCACTCTGTGTACTCTGGCTTCCTCTCACAGTCCAAAAACATGACTGTTAGGTTAATTGGTTTATCTAAATTTGCGTGAGTCGTTGTTTGTCCTGTTTGTCTCTGTGCTGCCCTGCGATGGACTGGCGACCTGTCCAGGGTGTACCCCGCCTCTTGCCCACTGACAGCTGCAGCTAGGCTCCAGCACCCCTCACGCTCCCACTTGGGATTAATAAGCGTATTAGAAGAAGGATGGATGGACAACACCGTCACTGACTTCTAAATATACGAACTCTCGCACAATTTAAACCAAAGTCTGTTGATCTCTTAGGCCATAAATCTAAGATAAATAAAATGTTTGTTACCCATTTTTTCACCCATCTTAAACTGCCAGATAGGGAACCATCCCAACCTGGCAAAAATGCACGGTAAGACGGGAAACGTTAGCCTTTAGATGCAAAATCCCATTATGCACCACAACATATTTTTGCAAACTATTCAATTACAAATTTGCCAAATATAAGAAGAACATCGTAGTTTTACAGTTTGAAGAAATAGAAAATTACGCCATATGCCAACTGTCACAAAGATGTGCATGACAAGGAAGGGTTATATATACTGCATGCATCATTTAGGTAGTTAACATTTTGTTACTTCTTGAGCTCCTTCAGTTATTTACTGTTACAGGTAGGTGCTTCAGCTTTTAGAGTAAGTGTTGGGGCCGGTGTGATTTAAGGATGGCCGGCCCTCGCACGCTGAAATTAGGACCAGCCCACCGGGCAAATGTCCGGTATCACAGATTAACAGTCTGAGCCTGACTCTGCAGGGTCATCCTGCTGAAAGGTGAGTTCCTTTCTTTTTTCCACAATTAATTAAGCTGTAATTAATCTCCTACTTCTGATGAATTCATCCTCATATCTGAGTGGCTTCTCTGACCATAAATGAATGAAAAACTTTATTTCACACTGTAGTAAAAATTAAAAGTTTAACACGTGCAAACATTATGTGTACTTGAAGATACATATACAGTATCTACCCTATAATTATAATTTAGTGCTTATGTCTGACAAAGGGTGTAAAGAAGTGAAACTCACTCCTTCTCCTTTCTATAGTGTCTAACACCAACTATGTTTCCGATTCCTTATTTACTTATTAGTCTACAATACTCTGAAGTCCATTAAGTGAGCAAATAAATTAATGTATGTATATAGAACATATGTTTACCCATGCCTATCCTCATTCATATATTTATTAACCATCATGCTGCCACCACCATATTGAAATCAGGTTTAATTTCATAACAGTCCTTCTAAAAGATTCTCAGACTGATCCATGGTCACTACAGTCCCTCAGCTGATTCTCTGTGGGACGCTTTCCTTATCCACCCTGACAGGTTATGATAACTATCCATGTCTGGGTAGATTTGCAGATAAAGTATAAAAGTTAGGGTAAAATCATGTAAAGGAGCAGCTATAGAAGCCAAATATAGGCTAAAGTTGTTTAATAAAAAAGTATCTGAAATAAAACATAGCTTTATTTCTTATCATCTTATAATCTATCAAAATATTAATTTTTTTTAGCAGTTTCCAGCTTTTCATCATTAATGGCTTTCCTATGGACTTTTGTTGCCTTATTACTATTTTTTAAAGAAAAGAGAAACAAAAAGAAAGTTTGTTTTCTTTTAGTTAAATAAAAATAAAGCCAAAAACAAGAACAGAAGCTTCTGTGACAATTTGGACACAGTCTATTAAATTGTTTTATTGTAATTTATCAGATATTAGTTAACTGGTTGAGAGAAGAACGCTCTAAAGGGTTTTCAGCTGACAAAACTTTTTTTTTTTTTCTTGTGCAGGACATCAACGGCAGACATGTTTCTTATATAGAGGAGGAACTAGATTGGAAGAAACCATTTTTAAAAGGATGTTCAGCTTCACAATAAGAAGAAAATGAAAATTTGGTTTAAATAAACAACTAGTTAAGACATACTTTTACCAATAAATACAGAAAACTAATATTTTAATTCAATCCAAACATATACTCAAACTCAATATAGAAAACACCATACATCAGATCAACCTCCCCCCCTTCAATTATCCAATGGTGCAGTCCTGCACACACCTCCTTGGAAAGTGAAACAGCAGAGGTGAGTATTTCACAATATTTTAACTCCTTAATCCATGAATTTCGCTTTTATGAATAGTTAAACAAAAACAAAATATTGTAAAGTGAAATCCATTTACCTTTTTACAAAAATGAAAACAAGATGTGGCCAACCAAAGAACCACAACCCAAACAAATCCATTTCATCCAAAACAACAAAAATAAACCAATGTAGAAAACCAGATGCTGTGTTTGGCTGCTACTTTGGTCAATATACAGGTAACAATCGGTCATTGTTACAATTTGCATCATCAGATTTATCTGTTTGAATATTACTGTTCAGAAAGAAAGACTAAAAAGAAAAAAGGTTTTATGTTTTACAAACAGTTTTTCTTTCAAACTCAGTCCTTTCCTCCTGAGTTTGTGTCTCTGCTGCAGCCGGTCTGTGTTAAAGTCAGCAGGAGCACATCATCATGAGGTGGATATCGTGTCATCTCTCACTCTGACCTCCTGAGTAGCTCTGTTTCGTCTCCTGCACCGAAGAGATAGACCTGCTGATATGATTCAGCGCCTGGAGATGATACTTCAGAGCTCATTTCTGCAGCCACCGTTTGTCTCATTCTGCTGGAAGGACACGGCCCTGCTGGGGTGGCAGATGGTGACAAAGACTTCACGGGGACAGGAGACCATGTGTGGTTACAGCGGTCATAAAGCAGAGCTGTAAAAGGGCTTTTAGAGGCTGCTGTTTCTGTTTCTCATAAAGCAGCTTTAAGGGTTTTCTGCCTCCTGACAAAATCCTCATGAATAATAAGATTAGGGAATAATTTAAGATCCAGTAAAACACAAACTTATATTGAGCTCAGCGTTATCGGCGCATGGAAGCTTTTTAACAAATGCATAGCAGAGAATAAAACCTCATTCTCTTTAAATGCATTAAAGTGTTCAGGGGGTGTGGAAGGCCCTGGATCAATGAATAGTAAAACATTTACAATGAAATGGAAACACTTTGGATGAAAATTGCCTGAAGAGGAAAAAAGCAAAGTCAGCACAGTGTAAATACTGATGTACAAATGTATTCATTATTATAACAAGAAAGCAGTTAAGCTTTTAGCTGCAGCTGCTTGAAATATTGTTCTTTTCGGAGGTAGAGACTGTTTGGAGGAGATATTTAATTCTCTGTAAATTAAAGTACAGCTCTGCGGTGAGAAAGTATGTGTCGCTGTACAGTTTTTTTCTGTTGTCGTACTTTAAGTTTTCAGATCATTAAACACATTTTAATTCCAGACAGAAATCATTTGTTTTCCAATGAGGATTTTATTTATTAAGTGACAAAGCAATCCATCCCCGCCTGTCATACTGTGAAAAAGTACTCGGCTCCTCTTGTAAAATAATAACTTGATTAAATGTGATTGGCCACTTTTCAGTCTTTGCAGTCATCGCTCTCAGCTGTCTGGCAAACTGCAGCGTATATAGATGATGCAATGACAGAGTCAGGACGGTCTGTAGGAGTTTCCCCAGCAATCTCCTTAGCAGACAGTGTTTTCTGATCCATCCTGCAAACTAAATCACTGCTCTGTGTTCTGTCCAGTTTATAGTTGAGATTATTAACCAGCTGACGTGAAAACTTATCTGATATTGATCTGACGATTGGTGTTAGTACAAGTTAATCTTTGACCAACTACACCCTGACCTAAATGCTGTCAATCCCTCAAAGGAAAACATCCATGTAGCAGAGCGATCTGACATCATGGAGGACCTAAAAGATCTGAAGCTAAGCTATCATGACCTGATCTGAGAAACGCCAGAACATCTATCATTCAGGAAAAAAAAATTATCTTTCATGAATGTGCATGTTAACCTCTAATATTACCTCTTAAGTGTTACGGGTAATGATTTCCCAAGCAGTTTATGTAATGTAGTAAGTAACTAAGTAAGTAAACTTTATTTCTATAGCACTTTTCACAGACCAGGGTCACAAAGTGCTGCACAAATTTATAAAAAGTTTATATAAATTAAAACAACATACAGAAACAGTAAAACACAGTATTAAACTAAAAAACAAGTTTAACAAAGTGGGTCTTGTGGGTTGTTTCTTAAAAGTGTCTATACAAACAAGAGAACGAATGGTACAAGGTAGCCCATTCCAGAGGCGAGGCGCCACAGCTTTAAAAGATCTGTCTCCTCGGGTCTTAAAATGGGTCCAAGTTCAAATTGGACGACCGAAGGTTCCTAA